GGGCTCATAGATACTCAAACCCAGAGGATCAACACCAAGACCAAACGACATACATCTCCAGATTCTGTGCGATTTGTAGGCACTGAAACATTGCATCACCCGGTCGAACCATTGCTCGTCGACTTGTTCGTACTGTTCTTTTCCGGAAATTATTCGATAAATTGACAAAACAACAACAACACAAACGTAGGATGCTAGTGAGACAGCGGTATTTGTTAGACAATAGATTCTTCCGGATACTGTGTCGCTTTTAACAAACCACCAACGAAGAATAAGCCGCAGAGAGACCCCACCTTAGCTGGAGCAGAAGATCTTCAAAAGCACTACATACCTAAAAGTCGCTAAAAAATGTCCAGTTCGCTTTCCACTGCCACCAGTGTAGCATCCCACCTGCAGCTGGATACATGAACTCCGAAGGCGACAAGGCAACTGAGGCTGGGCATGGCCCGAAGGCCAGCCCACGTGTACAAGAGCCAGGCAAATCCTATAGTGATTGCTAAATGTCAAATGGTCACAAAGCATTGCAGCATTAAGTTTAAACAAAAAGTACAACTTGAACCAGATAATTACTACGCAAGCCTACAATAAGATTGAAAAGTTCTCCTACCAAAATTTGAAGATTTTGGACGAACCCTTTATTACCTTAACCAACTTTTTGGAATCGATGGAAGAAATCATAACACAAAACTAATTTTATGGTCGGAAATGAGTTTCTACCAAATATTGTAACAGTGATCAATGCCTAAGGCGGAGGAGACTCCTATATCTATCCGAGACAGAAGTGTTTTGTGGGAAAAGGCACGGAGAAGCAGCAGTTCCCGTTGCTTCTATCAGTAAAACGTTAAATTGCGTCTTGTAGTAGACAACCAATCTTCAAAGTCCATATTCTCTTTCGGTGGGACATTCGATCGACGCTACCACCAGTGTATTCCAGGAACCGTTATCGGCCAAATTCCTTCTCAAGCTTTTCTCAGAAGACACTTATTTTACACCCATTTTTTACATCGCAGACCGGGAATTGAATAGTATGGAAGATAGGAAAACTATCATACGCAAAGCAAGGCTCAAGAGGCTTCGGTCCCATTCTTTAATGACATTTGTTTTTATACCCTCTCCGATCTATAAGGTCGATTAAAACAAAATATTTAATGAATTACAAATAAGAATGGCGTCCCTAGACTCCTTCTTGGGTATAAGAAAGCATTCATATTGGGCTGAATACATATGTATAAGAAGGAGTAAGTTTTGCTTCGGTTCGAAGGCCATTCCATGCCCAAAGAAGTATGACACGCATTAAAACATTTACTTGTATTGCACTCACTGATCTAAATATCAAATAATCTCCAACCAAACCATCAAAGTTGACAAAAATGGGCGTTGTAGAGAAACCTTGGGCATTCGCTTTTTTAAAATACCTCATGTGCCATAAGTTCCCATTTGGTAATGCTAAGCAGCAGGCATCTCTGATTGTTTTTACTCGGGGAGGAGCGAAGAAGTGTGGCTTTGGCTTGACCCAAAGACCAGCCCGTCCAATCGTGCGTATGGTGGGCACCAAAGTGACCATCAGTCACATAGGCAACTGAATAAGCTAAATATTTCGGCAAAAGTTGACAAACTGTAAGTTAATAGATGTATTTAACTATTCGGACAAATCCATCTACTTTATGCTCCTGCTACACAAATGTCAGACATAAGCGCATGTGGTGCACTTCGCAAATCATCTGTGGTAAACCACAAATGCTATCAGTTTTATGTACTCTTCTGAGCAATTGCTTTTCAGGCAAGTATCAATGCTTCTTTATTCGACTACCTATATTAGGAGTGGCCACTTTGGCTGCCATTTTGCTTCTTTCGGGTGGGCAGGCCTCTGAATTACGCCAAAGCCCTACTTCCACCCTTACTGCCTAAAAACAAGCATTTGATTGTGTCGTGTGTCTTCCATTACCAAATGAGTCGTCTCGGGTTGCCGCACTTGTGGTAGGGGATGCGGACCCGACTTTGCTAAGGCTTGGAATCGACTTCATACATTTCACGACAAATTTTATGGTGAGTGAGTGAATCTCCATCACCTTTATGGCTGAAGGGATATGAACGTTCTCGGCATCTACCGCAAACGTCGCGCTATGGAGTTCCCCTTGCCTCACTCGGGTGTTGATGTTGACATTATGAAATTGCCTGATTACCTATCCACACGAATCTGTGTTGCATGCGTATTTTCCTTCGAAAAAATCTGCTTACGGCTAGTGTTCCAACGCCTAGCCCTGGCCACACGTGAAGTTTGATAATATTTATCCTTTCCGACTCAGCTTTTGGAAAGGATGCAACTTCCAATCTTTTTGACACCGTTTTGACATATGCTCATTCACACAGAAGCTGATTACTGGCTTTGCTGGTCCATAGGTGATTTCTTGCGCAAACAACCACCAACTAAGAGAAAAGAGGAGTTATGTAATAATTCATTTTTCGGTTGCTTATATAAGTGATGATCGCTTGGACGTCCAATTTGCTTCTGCCGGGCCCCAGAAAGCAAAAAAAAATAGTAGCAGTTGCAGCATATTCAGACGAGAAAGGAATAGACTGAGCTTTTGGCATGGCCATCTGCAAGAAGTAGACTGACGACCGAAGTCATCACTACTCACACCAACAAACAAACAAAGTACCACTGCAATATTAACGAACATGATGAGATACCTTTTACAGGATTGTTGATTCTCACCAGCATGATTGTACGAAGACGCAGTTACTGTTCGCTGCCATTTTAAGCAAGTTGGGCAAGCAACCAGAGCGCTTTGGCCACTTTGTCCTTTTGCTTCCAACGCTTACTTTTCCTTCCTTATTCCTGAAAGATCCGCAAATCGGCCATGATAAAAATGTTTTCGATTCCCCCTAAGCGAGTCGTATATAAACTATCCACAACTGCTTTTTTTTAAACTGTTAAGTTTAGAATGTGGGCCGCATAAAGTGCAGTTGTGACCGAAAGCTGAGATCAAGGAAAAGAGGCAGGATTTTCCATCCTGAAACGGGAAAGAAATAAAGGAGACAGCAAATTTTCAAAAGGTTTGACATAGAAAAAAGGGTGAATTCATCAGAAGGTGTCCTGTTGACTAAAAAAATGAATATTTCACTTATATAAGCTAAGAAATGAAAAAACTCCCAGTAGTGGTAAAAATAACCCAAGTTTTATTTCTGCCGACCTTTAGAGGAAGGCTGCTTAACACGGTCCATTTGGCTCCTTTCCAAAGGGCAGCCAATATGCGAATACTTATTCTTGGTTATTTTATAACCACAGTTTAATTCACTCTCAAAAGAGCATTGAGCGTGGAAGGCGATCTAAGTGTTTGTCCGTCGTCCACACCTCTTAGTGGCCTATCGATCGTCGTCCACTGAGAGTGAGGAGATCAGGCCGGCCAAGGCACTGGAAAGTTGATTGGCTAGCACGAAAAAAAAACGCGGGCTTTTCATTGGCTAGAGAGCGGGAGTACGTGTTTTGGCCAGCAGTACTCGACTCGCCGATATGCTGGCGTCGCCTCCGCCCTCGAGCAAGCGCACCGCCGCCCCGATTGCGCTGAGCGCAAAGGTGAGTCGCCAGTCCTGCCTGCAACACCAGTTTTCGTCAAGGTAAATGTCTTGCCTACTCTTGTACCATAACAACCAAAGGTCCATTTAAACAACCCAGAACAATTGGGTCTCTAGATGAAAACACCATTTCGTGCAACTCAGCATGTGTTGTTGATTTAAGAGTGTAATTGGCTTCAGTATCACAATGGAATTGTTTGCTTGCATTTGGGTTTCAAATTCATTACTACAAATTTTTATTGCCACGATTATGCATGTTAGAAATCACTTGTAAAATCACAAAAATACCCTTTTAAATTTCTTCGCTTTGGGAGGAGCGAGAAGAAAATAGCAAAAAGGGTTGAAAGGCAATCTAGTTAAATGGAATAGGGTAGCGAAATTACACGAAGTGATTTCAGTAAGGTAATTTGCATAATTTAGTTCCCCTTCTTTATAATTTCATTTTGGTGAAGATGCTTCCCATGGCACATATGGTTCGCCTCCCAAAATACAAACAATCCGAAAAAGTCTGGGCTGTTTTCTAATATTATTTAAAGTACACACATAAATTAGTGGCCTAGCTTGAAAAGCGAATCTCCCCTTTTTACTTTACTACCCCTACTCAACATTCGATTTCACAAGTCTGTGTGGCAACCCAGACATTCTTTACAGACAGTGGAAGGTATGGTACTGGGGTGTAACACATGTTCAGGCGAAGAGGGAGAGACAGGAATGCTTTGCCATAGCCCGAAGGTAAGCTCATGTCGCAGAGGCGAAGTGGATGCTTAATTATTGGCCACCGATGTCATCAAACACTTATTTTCACTTATTTGGATCTGTCAACGATACCGTCAGAATTTGAAAAACAGTCTAGATATTTGGGTGCTCTTCTGTTACCCTCTTCAACTGTCTCTTTGTTATACTTCAATTCTCAATCGAGGAAATTTCGAGAACAGATAGTCCGCCTATCTCAGAGAATGGCTCCAATGGAGCAGATAAATTGATTTTTATGTTATCAAGGGAGCAATTACCCACGACTTTTTTGTCTTAAACCTTCAACCCACACTCGCTCGTCTGTGCAAGTGCTACTCTGATGTGCTTTTGGTACTCTCCGAGAGGTAGCTTTAAAGTTACCGACGGGCAGTAAAATTTTATCGTTACTTTAATCACTCCTAAAAATTCCTTCTCATCTCTCGGCGCTGCGTTCATTTACTTTTGTCTTTTTTTAGTTCTAAAACTTGTTTTGATAAGGCTATGTGAAATTTAGCCCGGAGACTGAGTAGTTTTCTCCACTTACGATTTTCATTGTTTATGTGGGCCTGGAAGTTGAGCGTGACACGTAACCCAAAGCCAAAGTAATTAAAAACGTTCGAATTCATGTTATTGCATTAACGTTGTAGGGCATTGGAGTATTTTTTTTTGGCTGGCAAATTGTAAGACATTCAGAAATGTTTGATGTGCTTGGAAAATCAGACATTTGACTCGACAATGAAATCCAGCCAAAGCGAACTGAAGAAGTGAAGCATAGCCGCTCGAAACGCTTTCGTGTTAGATTTGGGGTGGATCACACTGTCTGGGATAAGTTTTTATTTGATGTGCAAATACGTTTCAAGTCGTGAGGTGTCTTCAGTCTTCCCCATTTTCGTGATGGAGTCGTCTGTTCGCGCGTAAGCCAAAAGAACGACTGCAGTGAGTTTGATACGAGATGGACACAGGGTGTTCGCTGAGCGGACCGATTTTAGCTGTGTCATTCACTAAGTAAATTTGCTTCATCGCATTCTCTTGTTTGAAAATTGTCAAGTGTAATGACAATAACCGAGTGTTGGAATAGGGCGGTCCAAATTATTGTTCAACAGCTTGCCCAGTGTACAACAGGAACTTCTGGTGAATTTCAGTTAGTCAACACCTAGGTATGACACTGTACTAATAAAAGTTGACTTTGTTTATTTTTTATACTTACATGTGCACAGTCAGTAGTACCTTCTGCTTGTCAGGTCAGGTTTGAGCGTTCAGTAGCCCCAATCGCAAAAGCTCGTGAACAGGCCGTTCTGTCGCTTTACGAGCCACTGTTCGGTTCACTCCAAATGTTAGATGTGTGTAACATTGAGAGCGTGTGGATTGGCAAAGATAAACTGTTTTTCTTTATTTCACCGACATCAGAACCCACTACCTCGATGGTGTTAGGGAGGCTCATAGAGGCGATAATGATTTTAGTGTCTGAAAGCGGAGGAAAAGATTTTTTCGTTATAGCGTTACTCTTGCCACTGGAAGGCCACCATTTTATGGGTATAATACTCTCGCCCGTGTGGGATCACTTAACTCAAAGTGATCACGCAAAAACATTGTCCAAGAATTTGGTTACTTTAAGCAAGCTAATAACAAACTTACACTTATCTTCTCTTGTCCAATTTGCCTAATGAACCAACCCGAACGATGGGCCATGAGGGACCGCTTGCTCTGCCATTCCATGGAGGCAAAAGACGATAAACTGCCCAGACGGGGTATGGATGATCCAGGCGCAGTGGGAGCTGCTCTTTGCTTTGTTGCTTTGCTTCAATTCTCGCCAAGAAGCGAACTGTCCATTCAGGCAACTGTTGGAATTAGCTGGAAGCTCCTTCTTCAATTTTCTACTTTATTGTTACATCCAAAAGAGGTGGTTTCACAAAAAGTTGGCGTGCAAGCTTCTCACCAAATGTCTACTCGAATGGCTAGAATAAAGTCGAAAATCAGGAGAATTATTCCTCCTTTGGTATCTCCCAGTTATTCCACTAGAAAATCTCAAAGCAAACCTTAACTTAAAAGCAACGACATGTCTGGCAAGCAACTGATAGATGGCATGACAAGGTTATTTCAAGGACAGATGCAGCTCCTGCTGGCGTAATGGTTTCGCCAGCTTTGAGGTGATATGGAGGTCTAAGAGTTAATTAATTTAAGAAGTTTGTCAGAAGGGCAGATGACCTCATCCTTTCATCTGAATCCGCTCATTAGCATTAAAGTAGTGTGGGGCGTATGAGATGAGAAGCATTTATTTCTGAACCACATCAGTAGCCTCAGCCCCTCGATACCGCAGTGATTTCGGTAGCCACTCCTCCCCATCACCACCAATATGAGGTCGTTATTTTGAGCTCTTTGAGCTAAGTACGTGCATATTTAACCCACAATGAGGGACTTCAGTAGCCTGAGGACGTTTTCTTGCCCATGTATTTTGGCGACATCTTGCATCGCATTCAATTATCTACTGGAACCCTGCTTCAATTCTGTACTCTGGTCCTCTATTAAAAGTAGCACTTTTGTCTTACTACTTTGTCCCGCTGAGCGACGGCTGCTTAAACGTTCACTCTCCGCCTTCCCTTGCATCGAGGCTTTTCACCACCCTCCACACGAATAGCTTTCAAAAAAGATGATCCAACATCCGCAGTTTTCACTACCTTTGCTGCCATTATACTACACGCTGTTAAATGTTAAATGGCACAACCAACTACATCCATCGGACTGCCCCGTTTTATTGTGCCTACAAAGGTACTTGTTCCGATTAAATATTCATCTAATTCTTTTGGGTCTCTCTGGCCATTCAAACTTAGCTGAAATGGTTTTATGACGATACTTGGTTCAGTTGGCTACCTCAAGTGATGCATTTTATTTGGATTTAGACAGGTGGATATTGCCGAAATAACAGATTTATCGACTTTTTTTCTAAAATTCTGCAAAAAGATGGAATTTTTGAGCATCTTCAAGGGCGAAGAAGGCAAACCAACCTTCGTGCAGAACACGACAAGTTTTCTCTCCTCAGTGCAGGCCAAGGGGGACGATCTAGTGACAAGCTTGAAAAAGAAGACAGCGAACGCTGTCCAGCAACTGAGCTCCGCCCAGCTCTCCACCAATGCACCGAGTGGAGCTTCCCATCAAGACGGGGACGAAGATAGCTCGGCCAGTGAGTATGGGGATGGTGGTGATCCCGCAATGTACGCTGACGAAGCTCCCATGGAGAGAAAACTCTCCTCCGACAGCATTGATTCACTTCCTGTAGAGGAGGCTGACAAATATCGGTCGGATATTAGACAGTTTGTCATGGCTATGCTAACGTAAGTTTGTGACAGTAGTTTTTCTTTCAAGCCTGACAAATGAAAGGAAGTAGCTGTGGCTGCATAAAATGTCAAAGTAGTCCATATTTGAAAAGTGAAATTAGGCTAGACCTGTGAAAATTGTTCTTGCTTCCTTCGTCGTTAGCCCGCTCAGGAGTGGTTTACATTTGGTCCCTCCATTCCATCCATTTTCAGTTTACGTCTAAACTTCCGAACACCTAAACTAACCTCTTAGTCGCCTTTTTTGAGTTTGTGTCGTGCAGAATTATCGTGCGTGTGCACTAATACCGCGTCTTCTCCAACACCTTCTCATTTGCTATTTGTAGGGAAGACGGAACGGAGGTGGTGACAAAAAATGCCCACATCTTTCAGGGCTACATAGAAGTGAGCTACAACCCATCCCTCAGTCAAACATTTGTCTTTACGGTTCGAGCAACATCGATTCTCAACTTTTGTGTTTTAGCACCACACTGGTCGTTCCGCTTTTGCGAAGGAACTTCGCAAACAGGTTCTTTTAAAATCGTTTATTGAAACTTTGGGCAAGTGAGTCCATTCATCCGCAATTTAAGTAGTGTCTTCCTTTTTTCACCAGACGGATCAATTAAAACAAGTTCCCGCTTCGGTGCTGCGACTTCTCGCCTCATTCTGCAACAGCACGTTGATTGAATGCGGCAAAAACGACGACTTTTCACCAGCAGCGTCCATCCTCAATGTAGCGTTCCGCATCTTCCAGCAAGGTAAACCATAGAAATCCTTACTTTAGGCGTCTCACTCTTCCCTTGAGACTGACAGCCTCACTTACGAGCAAGGTGAAATTGACAATCTAGCTTTACGTCTGCTGCAAACAAACGCAAAAAGACTTTCCATAAAACTGGCTGTTCCTCGGTTTCAGAACGTGCCTCTGCAAGTTTCGTCTACTGTGCTGGATGTTTTGAGTTATGCAGAAAATTTCTGCCTGATTATCGTTGTCAAGATTCAGTTTGGAGGGGAGGTTTAGGAGTGCTTTTTGACCCTACTTCTTATTGGCAGATAAAGCATCTGAGTAGGGCGACGGCAGTCCCTCATCCCCGTCAAGCGCATTTCGCAATTACAAGTTACCAAATCTATTCTCTGCCACGACTTGGTTGTCGCACTGATTAGAAAGGGCGCATGCCTTAGTTTTGTGACCTGTGAGGGCTGAAATGAAACTTGACCTGGCAAAAGTTTGTGGCTCATGTGCGCCAAAGCTTGTTAAAACACCTTTCAAAAGTCAATGGTCACAGCTGAAGTGATAATACTTAATGTTTGTTTAACTGCGTGTAATCTCATCTACGTAGCTTAGTTTTATGCATGAAGAAAATTGGTTATAAGTAGCAAGGCCAAACTGTTAATTGTTAATTTTTGGACAAAACTAAACCTTAATTCCTAAAACTGTCGTCTAGTGTTATAGCCCCTGAGTCTTTCCTGTGGGGCAAAGATGTGAAACTCCGGTATGATGCATACATCCGGCGCTCAGTATGGCCCACAGCTACTGGCATTGGCCAGTCCGCTCGGCGGGGGTACAGGGGTAGGAGGAGCATTTCATTTGGAGACAAATCAACATTCACTTTAGGCCTTTGATTGTGTTGGACTCTGGAAAGATTGAATGCATAAATTAGGAAATCACATTTTAATTCATCGTCTTCAGTCTAAGCATACTTCTAATGCTACTTTTTATTTAATTGCATAGAAAGGCTTGAATATTTTTGGAGGTTACGGGTATGTAACACCTGTCTGAGAAAATCCTCACCCTCATTAGATTATACAAACGAGAGATATTTTAACGACAGAAAAGATTATGCTTTTCTTGTCCACCGTTCAGACTGCATTTAGACCTTCTCCCAGGTAAGCATTTTTAATTAAACTACTCAAAGCTCTGGCTTCGGTTTCAAACACTCTGCCTTAGCGATCTTGTTTTGCGAGGTAGGGCTAAAAGCATGCACTTTTTTGAGGAGAGGTAAAGACACTTTCCCCTTAAAGCACTGTGGATCAATGGAGACAGTTTTGCTTGAATAGTTTTTAATTTTGAGATTACCCGGTAGTGAATTGTGTACTTAAATGGGTGGATGAAACCACTGTTAGTTTGCCAGTACATTATAGAAGACACGTCAAGTCGTAAGGTGGAGTCAATTAACAGTGGGACTTATGCATATCATTCTACGACACTTCCTTTGTTCCCGTTGTGCTTAATCTCTGTCAAACACTAGAAGTAACATGACTATGATCGATCGTTTTGTGCCCTGTTCTATACAGTCACTATACCATTCGTTCTCTGGATGCTTCCTCCCAGTCATGGAGCTATGCTGTGGGTTAGCAATTAGAGCCCACGTCCCCACGCACCCATTCAGGGCCGCGTACGGATAGATTGCTGATGTTAAGTGAGGTGCCTTGCTGTTGGGTGATTGAGCTCACCAACTCCGCTTTCTTCCGTTGACAGGACTGTGACTAATTGATTCACTCAAACACGATGAGTGTGTCAACGCATTACACAAAGCATACCTCTTTGTCATGTTAGTTCTCGAAGAAATCGATGTTTCTTGATTAACTTGACTGATTTTATAAGGCTTTTAATAAGTCGAAAAAAGGATGCAAGCATCCATACTGGTAGCAACGATCTCTGTAAATGGAATTCCTTTTATAGTGTCTGACAAAAGTCTTTCATCTTACAAGAATTTATTCCCCATTTAAAATCCATTCTTCCATGGCTAAAAGTGCCATGAAGTCGTCCATCACTTGTTACATGGCATATCGCTTCTTATCCTTCATTGAAATACCCAAATTCATTAATTGGTTTTCTAGACGTCAATTCTGCTGGCAAGGTTGTACTGATCTACCTTTACGAAAGCTTGAAAGACCAGATGCTCTGGCAATCGACACGTTTCTGGAATGCAGCGGTGTTCATTGCTCTTCAGGAAGAGCGAGTCAACCGACAGGTTGTTCCAAAGTAGGTTGATCGGCAAATTAACTATTGCGTTGGTGGCAAAGTGAACTAGGGAGTAGATGCAATGTACCGACTGGTTTAAAGTTGACTAAAATTCTCTACGAGAGCGTAATATTTTGTCGGAAGAAGCGGCCCTAACGAATTTATTTGAATGATAAAGCGCTTCTACTGAAGTTGCGATTATTTCAGCAATGTTACATTAGTGATGTAATGGGAGTTCCCTGGGAGGTTAGTTGAACTTCTTTTACTTTGCAGTAACACGGACGACCAAGAAAACCTGGATGCTGAGGCGCAGCTACATGATAGCATCGTCTACAACCAGCTAAGGTATAAATCATCTACTTTTAATGGTACCATATCTCCTTAATAGTTATCAGTCTCTAATAATTTTCAATACTTTTGCACATTTGTGATAGTGTTGTGGATGCAACAGAAATCCATATGTGCAATCTTGGTCAGGTTTCACCTTTATGGAGGGATGGAAAGTCATCCACTGAATAGCTGTGATGTTTTTACAGGCTTACGTCACCTTCATCCATATTCGTGAAACTCGCGTGTTTTGAGTGGCATAGAATCGTCTCTTAAGCCCATCCAATTGGGAGTATTTTTAGATGACCTGAAATTTTCGGCTGATGCTGGACGGCTTAGTGCCTAAATTGCCGAAATGTCAAGCCAAAAGTTTTCAAAAGGGCAACAGTCTTGCCTTTTTTCTAATTTCAGCAAATTTGCCTGGCGAATGTACTCACTGGGCCTGAGCAAAGACGCCTGTATGGATTTTTTACGAAAGCAAGTTGAGGATACATCACTTTCAAAAGGTGAATTATATCTTCATTCCTTTTCACTCTCTGTTATGTTTGCAGTTGCAATTGCGCTGTAACCACTGCCTCTGTGGTATCTCGCCCTAGCGATTTAGGAAAAGTGGAAGAGATGGGAAGATCGTTACTGTAGTTGTCGTTTTGCTTCGTATCCTTTTCCAGTACAGCAGCCATGTTTCGTTTGTCTGGACTGGTGCATTGGTTTCCTACTCAGGTTTGTAAAATGTACACAGAAATACATTTCATGTGGCTGAAATATTGTGCGGCTTTAGGTTTGACTACCTGTGAGATTTGGCTGCTCGTAGGGAAGGGAAGCGGAGAGGTCCCTTACCTAAAGCGACCGAAGATATCGGACGGCTGATAAGAAGATAGTTCTTTCACTTCGTCTCCACTTATGTCTCCATACCAGTTGGTGTCAACTTCTGGCACTCAGTAGGTCGTGTGCAAATCGGAACAACTAACTCAGTCTGGAATGAACTCGAGGCAGGCGCGTTTACAAGTCGATCTTTGCGTTTTAAAGGCAATAATGAGTCGTAAGATTAAGGCCAAGGAAATTAGTATGTCAACAAACTCAAACAGGCCCAGCGTTTCATTAGTAAATAAATTTTAAGCCACTCCAATAGAAGGTAAGATTATTCCAGGTGTAATGATCAACCCCAAATCTTCTCATTTTGTATCCAGAGAATCAACGCAACTTACGAGCCAACGTTTTGCGATTCTACTCACCGGATAAGTGAGCAAGTGCGGACAATGACAAAGGAAGACTGCACCCACATTTTTGCATTTGGATGGCATTTGCCATTGTTATTATAGTTATCTTCTCAATCTACGCAAATACCATTCTCAGTTTCTAATTCTAGCTCCACTCCTGCTCCCACCTTCCAACTTGCAACTTTAAAGCCAATATCCGCTTACGTACTCCCTCTTTTGTGTACAACCATGTGTGTTCGTGTCATTTTGTGTATCGGTGTGTTAGCTTTTAGCCTCTCGAATGTGAATATGACCCTTTAGTTGGTAATAGTGTGAGGACGTATACTGAATGGAAACAAATGAGCAAACGTTCCGTTAGAACAGAAATATGGTGATATTGCAGGAATAACTTAACTTCACCTTTTCAACGTAGTAAAAGGGTTGTGAAGGTTGTCTAAATCAAACCATGATTTTAGCACTGTCCGGAGACCGCCCTAAAGGGAGTGACACCACTGAGAGCTAAAAGTGTGATAAACAGGAAATCTGTTCCCTGTATTTTCTCTTAACAGCTGAATACCTAAGCAATAACAGCCTCAACAGCCCACTGATGCAACAATTAATTGAATGGCGTCGGCGGTACAGATGTGGGTGGCTCGTTCGTCAGCTCAGCCATGGGTCGCGACGATTCGGTTCCCGTCCTACAGTTTGGCTGTCATTCGCCAGAATGATTGGTGTGAGGTCCATTTATTACACAGTGGAGCCACAATCGACTTAAACTTAGTATCAAATCGCATAAAACACTTAAGATTCTGCGACAAGAGGGAACCCAAAACAGCGATGCGAGGTTAGGTCACGCAATATGGCATAACATATCCACGAAAATATACGATTTATAGTTAACATTGGAGGGTGCTGAGCCCCAGCTTTTATGTTCCCAGTTCTCCTAGTCAGGAGACAACAGCTTTGATGGACGGTATTTTCGGATAAGGAAAAAAAGGAGTGGAATAAAGCTGCATAAGTGGATTGATGCTGGCTAAAAACTCAGAGAGCAGGACGGTTCTCATTCATACTTCACCCTTCAAGGAACTGAATGAGAGTGTGGCTTTTAAGAAGTGCAGGAGTTTCCTCAACAGGGATACGAAGCAGGTATTTTCAAGACTTAAGTTATACTTTTAAGAGTATGAGAGCTGTTTCTCTTCTTGACACTGCCGTTTATCATACTGGTAAATTTTTATACCAAACATTGGCTCAACATGACTTTCTCACAGCTATGCTCCATAACTTCTTTTAAATTTGGTAGAGAGAGAAAAATCTTTTCAATTTCGCTTGGTACTGGTCATTCACAACGATTTACTTCCTTTTGCTGTCTCGTTTTTTGAGTTATGGTTTTTCCTTACTCAAAATTTGCAGGGCCATTGGTTGCTGTAGGTTAACTCCTTACTTGCCCTCTGGCTGAGAGCCATATGTCATCGCCATCTCACGACTGATAACATTTCTGGGGATTAAAATTCGTCGAGAATTGGACAAGTGAAATAGAAATGTGCAGGTCATGCTCACACCGGTAACTCCTTGATGCAGAGGTGAGTTTTTCTAGAAAACCCGACTCTCCCTTGCACAAATGGAGGGTGTCAATATCGTTGCGTTGGTCTGATTGGCAGTGGGCGAGTGGGGTGGAACTGGAGCTAAAATGAGACGTTTTCCTCTTTAGAAGGTATAGGAGTAGCCGTGCAGCTAAATCATAGCTTGGCTCCGGCGTTTATCAGCCTTCATGGTGGATTGGCTGGATCTGCAGTTTCGTTCTGTGTAGGAATTATTCTGAAGGGTAGCAGTCTCTGAGTCACTATACCGAACTTGCGTCATTCAGCACGGGATGACTCTTAACAGCATTTTACTACTTTATCCCTACCACTTTTTATTCATTTTACCTCCCTCTAACCATCCTGCAGGCAAAGAGGTGAACGAAGTGTTGCATTTCCCCATTACTGCCACCTTCGTCTCTGCAAATAACTTTACAGATGATTCACACTCACAAAATCGTGTCGATGTAAGTATACGTATTTCACTTGCAGATCATAGGATTTGAAAAGTTGTTAAAGGCCAAAGATATTTTTAGATCCTCTGCAGGACTGCGTCCTATTCCTGTCCAGGTCCGGCACGTACACTCCGTTAGTCACCGCTTCCAGTAATGCAGTGTTCCGAACATTCCTGAAGGCTAAAGAAGGCACTATGCTTAACGAAATGCAAATACACAGAAGGAATTAGAACTACTAACATGGGCTCAAGTCCAATTTTCCCTTCCCCAAAATTAGACCATTGATGTGTTTTGCAATGCATCTACTTTTAAATTCGCTCCTAAAACGAGAACAGAATTTTGGTAACTGAAAGGCTTTTACTTTCACACCGTTTTTATGTATTATCATTTCTGTTTTTCCACTCAAACCTTAAAATGATTACAGAGGGCCTGTCCACTTTCATAGCAAGCCTTTGTGCGGTGTCATTTTTATTTATTGCGTTCCTTAAAAAATTGCTATATCCCTGCTGTATAAACGAATTTGCTCATCTTCATTTGGTTATCTATAAATAAAACTCTAACTAGGACTTCACTGCCGCTCAGAATCTGCCATTTAACGCTAAAAACCAACGTCCCTGTAATATATATACTAGTACTTTTAAATTCGCCTTTATAGGGAGAGACAGGAAGTCAATTCGAACACGAATTCGGTCCGTGAGGAACATGAGGACTCCTTCCCCGGGTATATCTGCTTTCTGGTTCATCTATACTCCCCATTTCCGTTCTTTCTGTATCAGTGACAAATATAGCTACTGCAACTAACCCTCTCTTGAAGTCCGAGATTCTAGTGCAGGCAGACTCTACAATTCCGATATCCAGTTTGTCGATTAAGTCGCTCCCTTTACACAGCGACACCGGAGAGCTTGAGAAATATTTATGGTAGTCTTGCATTGCAATAACACTGAATCCTATACTACTGGCGTAGGAAACAACGTTGTGGGTGGTTGGACCTGCTGAGAGCTGTACAGGAGTATTAACAGGCAAGCTAGTTCTCTGTTACCATTAACATTTGAGACATTAAAAATGGAAAATAATTTTAAATGATTCACTTTAAGGACCTTGAGACTGAGTATGTTCGAAGAGAATGTCAAGAGTGCTTTCGCTTGGAATGGATCGGGACCTAAGCTGTACTCTCATGAGGTCACCTGAGCTTAGGGGCGCTCGCATCACAATTAGGGCTTGAACTTGCCCTAAGACGTAGATTGGCCTAGAGGAACAAGAGGCATCGCGCGCATTTAAACCAAATTCCTCCCCCCAACATCTGTTTTTCAAGCGAAATGTTTCGAATGGTTGAAAATACGAATTCACCTTCGCAATGCCCCATTATTACTGAAACCAACCCATTTGAAATTGGTCAATCCTACAGACTTAAAAAGGAGATTATGAACCGCTTCCTTCTGTTGCAACTTTTTTGTCTCAGCGTCATTTCCTCCCTGGCTTAGAGCGCCCTAGTGATACCAATGCACTCGTAGTGGCTTTACCACCATCTTGATTTCCAGATCATGATAAGCGAAAAATCTGCTTCTCAGCCCTCAATTCTTACCCTTGTTTATAAATTTCAGTGCTTCTGACTTCCAGTTTGCATGATCGTGGGCAAATGAAGTAGCTAACAGGGCATCAGAAAAGCATGCGTTTCTATTAGCAAACCGATTAGAGTTAGGATAGCTTCCGCACCGAAAAGTAGACCTGCATTATGGCTTCACATGTATTTTGAGGCGTGTTAAGTACAAGTTATTGTCGTTTATACCATAAAACACCTGAAAAAAATACTAAAAATGCACCTGTGCTGTATCCATTTGTGCTATATGACGACGAATCGAAATCTAACTGAACGAAAAGAAAGGAAAATGGAATAGAATTTTGTCTATTGTCGTAAAAACCTCGGGTCGGAACTTGTAACAACATTCCAAACAAACACAGCATTACACATGCTGCCTATTTGCGGAGGTCTCCCATTGGACACGATGCTATCTCTGTGTTACCATAGCCGCAAACGTCAAGGAAGCGTGCTGAAGGACACACTGTGTTAACACAGGCTTCCAATCCGAAGGCTACTCATATTTAATCATTATCCAAATTATTTGTAAGGCAAAGTATGGAAAAGGGAGAAGAGGAAGTCGTATATACTTTTGCGCCAGAAAATCCCAAAAGCAAAGCGGATGAATACATCTCTAAGCATGGAATCGGATCCATCCTTGAAGTAATGACTTTGAAAGAGGAATGTAATTGGCATATCTCTTTTAGAAACTAGTTGAAGGCCTGCTTTCTGTGAGACCTGAAAAACCGATTGAATACATGATCGATGTGTTGGATGAAATTTAGATTTGACATTGTCAATGGTTTTGCAAATATATTTGCACTCTATTCAAAGTGGGAAGTGCTTATGTCAGAATCATTCGCACTACAGATGACGGCAGCCTTGAGAGCGCTCTATTTTTTTTACTGCATGAAATTTATTCGACTGCCGAAAAGTTCTACCGATGCTAAGCAGAGTGCACTTGAGGGTCATGAGACTCGTATACGAAAAAAACTTCGCCCTTTAGGTAATATAGGCAAATCATTGATGAAGAGTTTCTCCACAACCCTCACAAAGGTTTTAAAGAATGGGAACGCTAAAAATGGAATACTTTGATGTTGAAACTGTTAACGTTAAAAAAGGCTCAAATAAATGATAGTGTTAAGGTGCAGAACAAACGAGTTATAAAGGCAACACAGTAACTGCCATTTTATTTACCGTATCAGAGAACGTCTACCTGTCCACCATCCCCGCATTCTGTCCGAGTCATTGGTACACTAAAGGAACCCGAAGTCCCAAGGCAACCTAGATGCATATTATGTTATGACAAATTACGGTGATGGACAATTTTAGGGCATATCTCTTTCATGGAGAATTTTTGCAGTCTGGAATTTAAAACCATCAACATTTAGATTTCGTATCAATTTAGGAAAACCGTTACAAATGAACGATTATGTTTGATTGCTTAATCGACCGAAACTTAGTAAAAGTCGCATCAAATGTGGACTTTTACTAATCGTGCTAACACTACCGGATATGCGAAAATCTCAAATCGCCGCAGTTTTAGTACCATCAATTAAATTAAGAGGCCGAACAAAGGTTTTATTCGCGAATACTATGCCAATTTAAATTAATTTAGCTTGATATGCATAAGCCACTTGACTGCTTATAGTGAAGCTACTGTCTGATTGGTGGGAAGGACGATTCTAATGAGTTAATTGTATCCGTATAAATTGGTCCAGATGGCTATCTTAGTCGTCTTTTGCATTTCTCGATTACGTTTACTCTAGGAACATGGCTACCATCCAGTGCATTTTTAAGACCTCTGGAACTGTTGTTGCAGGTTTCGGTCGCGGTTCTCGGGAGCTTGGTATTCCCACAGGTACTTTGTACCTCACTTTGCCGACAAAACAATTTAGCTAATTTGGATGACACTGTCATCGAAAATTTGCCTTCGTTAATGTCAACTGGCGTCTACGCTGGTTGGGCTCAAGTTGGCAATGGAGACGTGCATAAGATGGTGATGAGTCTTGGTTGGAACCCTTTCTACAAAAATGAGAAAAAATCTCTTGTATGTCGTTCTTTTATGAGTTTAACCTAGCTTGGCCTTGGTCGGCGTTGTCACTGAAGTCACTTGCATATTTGTGTTTCCTCCTTGACGGTTCTTTGTTTGCTCACCACCTAAGGCGCTTGCTCGGTCGGTTATGTATTCGATGCCCTTTCATTACGCTTCTTTTTAAATGGATTTATATGTTCTCAGGGATTTTTCTGATTCCATAAAGGGATTTTGGTTTATTTAATCCACTGGGTCGTTTGTTATTTCCTCTCTGAATATTTCTATGGGAAAATGTTGCCTTTTGAAATGGCACATCGTCCATATACACTTTACCGAAGCCTTAGCTTTTCATCCATGAAATTTACAAGGTTTTGTCTTTTATTCTGTTGCTTTAAACAGGAGGTTCACATACTGCACACATTCTCGGAGGATTTCTACGGAAAGCTGCTGACAATCGTGGTGTTGCGATACCTTCGACCTGAGCTTGATTTCGAGTCAATTGGTAAGCTCTGAGCCCATGTGTGAGTTTATCGAGTAGAAAGCAGCTAATTTCCTTTCATTTTGTTTATACTATGACGAATCGTAGCTTCATGCCGTGACGCATGAAATAACGCATTCACTTGCGTGGGTGGTGCCAATGGCCGCGCCATGCCTAAGTTCAACGCAATTTTAACTGCTTTTGCACCTTTAACTTTGCATTTAGATGATCTAATAAGGACAATTCACGAAGATATCTCTATGGCGGAGGAAATTCTGGATTCGCCGGAATGCCGTTGTTACTCTACAGATGAAATCTTTCAGCACTAATCTATCGCGTTCTTCCTTAGCGCGTTTTTATTTGTTTCACATTGGAGGAGCTTTGTGTTGTTCTGAGGGAATCTTACTTACTGGAACGTTATGGGTCGGGTTTTTTACCCAAGACAGTTTAGTGGCACTGATTACAGTGGTGGCACGTTGTTTTGTTGAATTAGCATGATCCATTGCTTTCAAGTTTTGGAACTTGGTGTGTTTGGTTACGGCTCTGTTTATGGTCATTGGGTTTCGGTACATCAAGTACAGAATGGTGCTTGAGGTTGTAGGTTGAAGCGCCTTTGTAACGGCGTCACGAAACGTTCGAGGTAGAGGCGGCTGTCGGATGCCACGTCCGCGGGGAGTGCACCTAGGGGTCGGCATTAGGACTTTTATTCCCGCTTACGTGGCTGTGTTAAGTCATGTGGCTCTGGCTAACGGGTTTTTCAGGAAGGCTGTGTTAAGTGCAGTCGTACGTTATCAACAAACTATCACAATGGTGGTCAACCCCTGCCACCACTCCCGAAAAGCTGGTGTAATTTGATGCAACATATTTAGAGGATCAAGGTCGGGGTCGTTATTAATTGAGGGAAGATTGCATGCAGCAAAATCGATCTCGGACTAACCATTCGTTGGCGCAGCACCTTGAGGCTTTCTGCTACTTCGAAGAATACAGTGTTTGGATGAATGCTCCTATTCTAGGAAGATATGGAGTGGATTTTAGCTTGGCCCGAAGGTCGGCTCACGAGTGCCGAGGGGTTAAGGGAAAATAAATTAAGGGCCAGACATCAGGTGGTCACATAAATCTACTATTGCAGTTGGCATCATTGAGTGGGCGTAGAGTGGTAAGGAAAGATCGAATTCACTTTAAGTGTACATACATATGTATGGTGCCTGAAGGTTTATTGAAGTGGGTCTGCTAGTTGTCTGAGGCTAGCTAAGTAGCCGAATGTACCATCTCTGAGCAGCTACTTCACCCTTTTTTATGTGGTCATGACCACAAATTAAGGGATCCTCATAAAGAGAATTGTTTCTTGTTTCAGAGGATAATTGAAAGTGATTCTTGTAACAATTCGTTTATGTGGCCACGTAAGGTACAACGACTGTCACAGTGTTCGACCTGTTCCTCTATACGTGAGCTGGCTTTAGTGCCAAGTTAAGACTCAATGCGCCCTTCACCACCTAGGCAGCACGTGTCCTGTAATACTGTTTTTTTGACCACTCCATGCCTGGCGGTTACTTTGGTACTCGCCTAACCCTTGTACACGTGAGCTGGTCTTCGGCCAAGCCCAAGCCTTACTCCTTTCCCCTCTCCCTAGGTTTCATGCATTCAGTGCAGCGTAATGCCTTCTACCCAGTGGGAATTCTCTGGACGCCACATTGGTGGCAGCGGAAAGCGAACCTGACACTTTCTAACCACCTCTATCCTAGTACTCACCGTTCGT